AATCATATCGGAAAAGATAGATAACATGCACCTTTGAAAAGTAGCTGGAGCGTTGCACAGGCCGAAGGGCATCCTCCGGTAAGCGAAGACTCCGTAAGGACATGTGAATGCTGTCTTTTCTTGATCTTCTGGAGCTACTGCTATTTGGTTGTTTCCTGAGTACCCATCCAGGAAGCAGTAGAAGGCATGGCCAACTAGTCTCTCCAACATCTGATCCAAGAAAGGGATGGGGAAATGGTCCTTCCGAGTGGCTGTATTTAGTCTTCTATAGTCGACGCACATCCTCCACCCAGTGACTGTTCTTGTTGGAATCAACTCGTTGTTCTTATTTCTTACCACGGTGACTCCTCTTTTCTTGGGTACCGTTTGTACAGGACTTACCATGCACTATCAGATATCGGGTAGATTATACCTGCATCCAATAGTTTAACTACTTCTTTCCTAACCACCTCTTTCATGGTTGGATTGAGTCTCCTTTATGGCTGCCTCACAGGTTTAATATCATCTTCCATTAGAATTTTATGAGTACAAAAGGAAGGATTTATACCTTTTAGGTCGGAGAAGGACCATCCTATGGCAGCTTTGTGTTTCTTCAGCACTTTGAGAAGCTTTTCTTCTTCTGCGGTTGATAGCTCAACATTGATGATGACCGGATATGTGTTGTTGTCACCAAGGAAGGCATACTTCAAATTTGGAGGTAACTCCTTAAGCTCCACCTTTGGTGCTCCAAGAGGGATGTCATCTTTCTTTCTTTCTTTCATTCCACCACTAGTTCTTTATCAGCTATTTCAACTTCTTCGTTGATTTGTTCTAACACGAGTGGGGAACTCTCTTTTTTCATAGCATCATCAATTGTTTCTTGTATTATGTCAATCATAAAACAGTCTCCTCCGTCAGTTGGATGTTTCATTGATTCGAAGACGTCAATGGTGACTGTTTCTTCGTTCACCCTCAGCATCAGTTTTCCTTGCTCCACATCGATCATTGCCCTTGCGGTGGCTAAGAATGGCCTTCCAAGCAATAGGGGAATCTCGGTGTCTTCTTCCATATTCAGAACTACAAAATATGCAGGGAAAATAAATTTGTCAATTTTAACTAAAACATCCTCAATTATCCCATCTGGTCGCCTGATCGATCTGTCAGCTAACTGGAGAGAAACTGTAGTCGACTTGAGCTCCTTTATTCCAAGAGCTCTGCACATGGATAGTGGCATCAGGTTTATACTTGCTCCCAAATTGCATAGTGCTTTCCCTACTTCAATATTTCCTATGGCTATAGGAATACTGAAACTTCCTGGATCCTTTAGCTTGGGAGGAAGTTTCTTCTGGATGATTACACTGCACTCCTCTGTCAAGGCCACTGTTTCGCATTCCTTCAACTTGCGTTTCTTTGATAGAAGGTCTTTTATGAACTTCGCATAGTTCGACATGCTTTCCAGGGCTTCTGCGAAAGGAATGTTGACTTGCAGCTTCTTGAAGATGTCCAGAAATTTGGTGTATTGCTGTTTCTGGACCTTTTGTTTCAGCCGCTGAGGGTATGGAATTTTTGCATAAGGAGACGGGTCTGCCACTTTTGGTTGCCTGTCCAGAGCTTTCTTTTTCTCTCATTTGAACAGCTTCTTTTCTGGACTGCTCTTTTCCGCTTCTACTGCATCTTCTTCTTTCTCTTTCTCAACTTCAGGTTCAGCTTCTGGTTCGGCTTCTTTCTTCTTTTCAACTGGTGGCTTTTTCACAGGCTGAATCACGATCCCGCTCCTTGTGACAATTGCAGTACATTGTACCTTTGGGTTCGTATCAGTGTTACTTGGAAAGGTGCCCTGAGTTCTTTCAGTGAACTGCCTTGATAGCTGACCAATTTGAGTCTCCAAGTTCCGGATCGAAGCTTCTTGATTCTGGAATGAAGCTCTTGTTTCATCTCTGAAGGCATCTGCATTTTGAATGTAGTCGGATGTTGTCTTGGATAGTTGTGCAAAAGCCTTCTCTCATTCTGATGTGGTGCCTTGAGGTTGTTGTTGCAATGGCATAGGAGGGTTCAACTGGTAATTTGATTTGTAACTCAACCCAGGGTGTTGGTTAGGATTTTTCCACCCTTGATTACCATATTGATTCCTTCCTAGATTGTTCTGATTCTTTTGATCATACCAGATTCCATTGACCTCCGTTGGTGGCTTTTCAGCTGTTCTGATGTAGTCACAATCCTCAGTTGCATGAGCCTCTTCACAAATACCACATTTAATATTAGAATTAGAAACAGAAGAAACTTGAGAACAATTAAATTTTTTATTAAGAGCATCTAATTGTTCTTGTTGTTTCTTGTGCATTTGTAGCATTTGTTCATTCTGGGCTAAGAGTGCATCATAGCCTTCAAGCTTCATGATTCCTGATCTTCTTGGTGCAACTGGGGCTAGGGCATTGTCAAATTCTTGAGAAGTTAAGGATTCCAGCAATTCTAGCGCTTCTTCTGGAGTTTTTGTTTTCAAAGAGCCTCCTGCAGCAGCATTTACCAGTGTTCTTGTGGTGGATGTCATCCCTTGGAAAAAGATTCTTGCTTTCTCCCATGCTTCAATTCCATGTTGAGGACACTTCCTGAGTGTTCCTTTGAATCGTTCCCAAGCCTCGTACAAAGATTCGCTTTCTTTTTGTTCAAAAGCAGTGATCTCCGACTTGAGCCTTCCCATCTTTGAAGCTGAGAAAAATCTAGCCAAGAATTTTCTTGCTATGTCATCCCAATTGGTTATGCTTCCTTCAGGTAGAGACTGCAGCCAATCTCTTGCTTCATCCTTCAGTGAGCATGGAAATAGCCTGAGCCAGATAGCATAACGAGGAACTCATTTACTTTTAATGTATCACAGTAAAGTAAGAAGTTATCGAGATGACTATAGGGGTTCTTTGTGCTCCCTCCAGCGAACTGTTCTTTTTGAATCAGTTGTAGCAGTGCCGGCTTCAGTTCAAAGTTGTTAGCCTCTATGTTTGGTCTAACAATGCTTGCCGTCTGTGGGACTCGAGCTGGGGTCATGTAATCCCCCAACGTTCTTGGAGCGAGTTGATTATTTTCTGCCATAGGTTCCTCCTTAGGTTCTTTATTTGGTTCCGTCGAAGTTGATGCCTTTGTTTCCTTCGCTTTTTTTGCTTTTGCGTCTTTCCTAAGTTTCCTTTCTGTCTTTTCTATCTCAGGATCAAACTGCAAGATTCGCGGGTTAAGAGTACCCGCATAAGCTAAGATTGAAAAGATGTACAGAAAAATAGAAAAAAGACAAAACAGAAAAACAGAAAAATTAAAAAAAATAAACAAACAAAGAATGCAGAAAAATATTTTTGAAGAATGTATAAAGTGCAGAAAATTAAAACGTCCAATCTAAAAGTTAATTAGTTACTTCTAATGTTGAAGAATTTGATCCCTGACAACAGCGCCAAAAACTTGTTGTGACTCGGCAAGTGCACCGATCGTGAAAGTAATAAAGTGTACCGGAGTACGAGATCGTTCCCACGAGGATCAGAATTTTCAAGCACTAGTTCGCTAATCGCGTCTTAGTTGGACAATCAAGAATTTAGATGAAGAGAGTTGTGGTTCAAAGAACTTAAAATTAAAAACAATTAAAATCATGCAATTAAGGAAATTCAGAATTAAAAGAATGAATGAAGATGATGTTTGATTAAGAATTTAAAACAAGCGTAGTTAAGGTTTCGACTTTCCCCAATTTCCTCAATATGTTATGAATTAAACAGTCATGAATCTGTTTCTTAATATATTGCCAATCAATTCTATCTAAGTTAATTACGGCTCAATTCCTTGTTACCATAAATCTATGTAATCTTGAAAGAACTCTAGTTCCCCGATTATTCCCCAAGAAAACATGGATTAAGATCAAGAATTATAAGATTGCTTAATTACCCTATGCCTATTCCTAGATCACAAGGATTATGATAAATTATCAAGTCAGGGTTCATGCACCAACATCCCTATTGTCATACAATTCCCCAAAATCATTCTATAAGGAACAAACTCATAGAAAGCATTAAAAATAGATAATTTATTCAATTATGAAAAGAACAGGATTTGGAGACAATTCAATTCATAAACATAACGATTCAATTGGGTTCCATATACCCTTAACTACATAAAAGACTACTCTAGCATACTGAATTGAAAAGAAATAATAAAGAAAAGAGAACCCTAAGCCTCCATTGATATGATGTTGACTTGGTTCCTCAGTGTTCCAGCGCTCCGCAACAGGATTCCTCCCTTGGGTCTCTGTGTAATTCCTTGGTGTGGTTGTGTAATTCCTCGGTGTGTCTGTGTATTGGTCTTGACCCCAAGCTCTTTTTTTTATAGCTTTTTGGAGTTGTATTCTTCATTAAATCTCCAATGAATCCATATCAGATTTGTGGTTGATTTCATCTTTGTTTCCTTTTTGCATTTGATATCTTGGAGATTGGTTGATGATTTTGAGCTTTAAATCTTGTTGTGATCTTCCATCACATCTTCTTATTGGAGTTATATCTTATCTCAATCAAGGTTGTTGTGTTTCCTCTTTGTATCTTATAGAATCCGCTGCATATCTTGATCAAATCTTTCCTGCAGTTTAGCTTGGCCGTGCATGGACATTTTAGCGTGCTATTTGTGCGCTAAAACGTGCTTATAGTGCATTCTTGTCTGCCTCCAAGCATTTTGGTGTCCAGTAGCATGCCAAAACGTGCTCTTCGAAGGATTTTGGTTGCTTCAGGAGCGTTTTGGCGTGTTGTTTGGCCGCCAAAACTCTCTCCTCCAGGGAGTAATGGTTGTTTTCTTCCTTTTGTGCGTTTAAACATGATTCATGGACGCCAAAACGTCCTCCTTTAGCTGGTACACACTTGAAATCTTGCTTTCTTGTGACTTCAACTCAACTTGATGTCTTCTTTTGATTCCAAAATGCCATAATAGGTATCAAAAAACTCTTGAATTCAGAATTATGACAACATGTTAGCAAAATATTCAATTACTGTAACTTTACAGTATAAAACCCTAATTTCCATGCAATTCATGATATATATAGCAAACATAATTAAGCCTAAAAACATGGTAAACTAAGGGTTTATCAACCCCAGGTACACACTTTTTGACCTATTTACTATTACTGTCAACATTGTGCACACACCCACGTCTTGGCTATAAGCCTATTGCTTGTGCGTAGTGATTGGAGAATTGGCTATAAGCCAATCTAGATACCTATCTCTAGGGTTTCTCTGAGTGCATACCATACGGTATAGCAATACGGTTCTCTAGGACTGAACAGGATATAAAATGACACAAAGTAAAGGACAAACATTTTCTCCATCTTTTATATACTAGTATAAGCTGTTTAACTATGAAAATTTGTGTATCTTGGTTTGGTTGAATATGATGAAAATCATTTCAAATATCAAAGTGAGCATGTAAAGGTAATTTGGAAACAAGAAGATGGCATTTGTAAAAAATAATGTAATACTCAATTCACCCTACTTTTGAGTATGTTAGCCATGTTCCTAACGTCCATTTTGCTTGACCCTTCAAGATTTTATTCTTCCAAAGCACTTCTAGAAAAGGAAGTTTAATTCAAAGCTTAGTTTGATGGATTTTAGATCTTTTATCTTTCTAACTTTTTAGTTTTCCCAAGCACTAAATTTGTGGTCTTCAACTCAAATATCAAGTTTCCTACTCTTTCGAACTCTATTTTTCTTTCATTCTTTTCTTTCTAATGAAATGAGCGTCTAAAGCTTGTGTCTTTGTTTTAGATTTGAGTAGTAATCAATTATTTGACCTTAATTTTTTTTTTGAAATTCTCACATCTTAAAAAATAATTGATTATTTGGAACAAAAAGAGAATACATGATATTAGACTTTCGCAAATAATCAATTATTATATGAGATAATTGATTTTGCATTGTCGATCATTGACAACAAACTTAAAAGCAAATTTTTTCTTTTTATATAAAATAAGCTATTATTACTTAAAACAATCAATTATTAATTCAACCGGAGCAACTTTGAAAGCTCATTTGAAAAATAATCAACTATTAGCTTTGAGAATGAATCCTCTCATGCAGTGTTTTAAAACTCCGCTCGAACCGGTTGGGTCAACCCGGTAACCGGTGAACCGGTCTCCTGGCCGATTCGAGCTACCCATTGGATCAGATATGCACTCCAACCATTTTGGCCCGGTCACAACCGGGTTCGACCGGCCGGTTTTGTAAAAACCCGGGACCCGTTGGGTTGTTAAAAACCCACCTTCTTACGTAATAGAAGCAACGCAATTTGATATGGGTACATCCAACATAGGTTATAAACATATTTCTTTTTCATCTTCTCGTCGATGTGGAACCTCCTCAACCTTCAAACCAACATGGCCGCGCCAAATCAGATTCAGTGGCATGTTATAATGGCCAAAAAGTACAGAGAACAGGGATTTTTATG